TGAAATTCTAACGACTGGATCGTTAGAAATCGGCAAGTTTTTGCAAAAGCAATCGGTCTCAATTTTTTGAGCAACTGCGCAAGCGCTGCATTTAACTGGGTTCTTTCGGTAACAAAGAAAAAGCTGAGAATTGCTGGGTTCTTTGTATTGTTACTTTTTCTAATATATCTTTGTAATAAAAGACTAAAGACATCAATACACTGCGTTTAAATATAGAGAAAAATAGCACAGATAGTGCGGGTGTTGAGTAAATAAAATGATCGCTGGATCGCTCTATTGACGGCATATTTGTTTTTTCCGATCCTTGTGCGCGCGCTGAATTGCACAAGCAAAAGCGCGCGCGAAAACTGTGTTCGGTCACCTTAATTTCAACAAAATACGCTGTTCCTCGTTAAACATTGCAAGAGGCAGAGGAACTTTAACATTGTCTTTATTTTTAGCAAACTTGGTCGGTTGGTGGTATGAAATACTAAGGCTGCGAAGAAAAAGACAATTATCATGTCGTTTTGGTAGGACAGCTCGGTTTTGACTGTCTCTCGTACTGCGGACACAGCCACCGTATACAAGGTTTTGGAATGAGGTGAAGATTACTGAACGAGACTCATATTGGTACAAACACCTCGTCAAATAGGTTATTCATATAATATTTTCTACATTAAAGGAACTCAGTCACGGTATTTTGAGTTATTTTGGATACATATAAAATTACCTTTGAATTGACGGAAACCTGAAAATAATAGTTTACTAAGATGGAAAAACACCAGAGAGTTATATAATAATAAACCATTAAGAAACAAGGAGGGAGAAGATTGACACGGATTAGAAACGACGAACTTGAAAACCCTGGGCAAAACTAACTTGACGTAGCTCCTTTAAGCGTGACAGTTGAGAAGAAATATGGCTCCACGTTGAAGAAACTACACAATAGGAGAAGGGCACGGCACCGATTGAACTTCACTTACAGACAGTAAGCAGTCAAAAGGTCACGATCTACATCTCAAGCAACTGCATATACATCTTGAGACGAACGATAACACCTTATTGTTAGTATTATTGCATCTCACTAAGATAAACAACAATTACTTTTTTCATGTACAGGTGATTAACAATTAGTAGAAAAATAACTGTGATTGACATTTTTTTCAGGATTACTGCATCCTTTTCGATAAATTCAGACTTATTGTGACTTTCCCACTGTTTTTCAGCAGCAACACAACAGAATCGCTTTGTTTTGAAATGTCCGCGACCACTGACCAAAACGGCAATTTTTCAGACCCTCCAAACTCAACCGTTGGACCAGCTGTTGAAGTTACTCCACAAAAGGTGGAGCCGCATTATGAAATTATTCACGAGGTTTTGCCTATCGCTGTTATAATCGTTACAGTGAACAGTGTTGTCTTCTGCCTGTTTGCCAAAAGTAAGCGACTTCGTACCCCAACCAACTGCCTTCTACTAAGCTTGGCTGTGTGCGACTTTATGACCGGGTTCATTTGCATCCCTTTGTTTATCATTGTTGTGGTTCAAGTTATCAAGCCGCCAGAGCCGCATCTTGGAAACTTTAACGTCGTCTTTAACAATTGCATGGCCATGGCAGCTGCTTATCACATTCTCGCCATCACGCTAGAGCGGTATTTCTGTATTAAAAAGCCTTTTGCCCATCGCCAGGTGACCAAGAAGTCGATGCTAAAAATTGCTTTATTCGTTTGGCTTGTTGCCGTCGTCATTGGATTTATGCCTTATATTTGGTTTTCGTTACAAGTAACCGATGTCGACGCTTATAAAAAGACACAAGTTGGATATGTAGTTTTCTGTTTGACGTTTGTGTTCCTGGTGCCATGCGTCGTGATCATTTGTTCTCAAACCGTCATGTTTAAAGCCATTGCCAAACGCGGCGGACACGGACTGACTGCGTCAAAGACCGCCCTAAGAAAGGCGAGGAGCGACAAAAAATGCCTCGTCATTTTTGCCCTGATGGCGTTTATATACGTGGTTTGTTGGCTACCATGGTTTGTTCTTTACCTATGTTTTTCGTTCTGGTTTCCACTCAGTAAAGAAACCTTAGAAAGATTGAGTGACCTATCACAGGTGGTCGTCATTTTTAGATACATAACTTCAATTGTCAATCCTCTGCTATATACCTTTTTCAAAAAGGATTTTCTGAAGGCTTTCAAGCTGCTCGTCCTAAGGAGAAGAGCGTCTGATCTGCACAGCAATACCATGACAACTCTGAACCATGGTAATCGTTCTACGTATTCACAAATGCAGAGAAAGTTGACTGGTCGACCACACAACAATGGAAATACCGAGGAGAAAGAGTTGATTACCGTTTTGTAAATGGATGAAGTGCTGAAGAACATTGAATAAAAATTTTCTTAGGCATAACTACAGTATGCTAAAGGGATTTATACTCGACTGAGTGGAAAAAAATTACGGTTGTTCATGTGTTACAGTTTACTGTTACGTGACAGAGGACAAAAAATGGATTCGCAAATCAAAGCCGTAAATGCTGTACTTGCCGCACCATTTGCACCCCGGTGTAAATGGTACGGCAAGGATTCATTTACCATGTTTGCTACACATTTAACTCTTCCTTTTTAAACATTTATATCACATTTACGCGAGGGAAATTAGAACAAATCTACACGATTATGGTGCACTATTTATGACAAAATGATAATTATACAAATGTTGAGAACAATGCAAACATTTGTACCAGGCAAAAAATATAAGGATCAAAATTATAAAACTGACCTTGTACAGCAATATATATGCGTGCAGTTAAATATACGTTATGAAGCCTAACCTAAATATACATTATGAGCCGTAACATAAATATATAGGCTAGGAGCCATAACGTAAATATATTTGTTATGAACCATAACGTAAATACACGTCATGAGCCATAAATTATTTGATTAGTTCACATCGTCATAAAGTACATGCGTAATGCCAGGCGTAATGTTACAACCTGGGAGAGACTAGACAGTTTCCTTCGAGAATTACCTTCGCTGTTAGAGCAAGCGGATAGATACCTCCATTGGGAGAATGTCAACGTGTCAGGAAATTTAAGACGTATGAGAAAATACAACACTGTACGGAGCAAGACGCTTCTGATGACGCGACTCTCATCCTCAGCGAAATTCATGATCGAACGATCGAATTGAACGTAACTTCAGAAATTTTCTCTGTATTTTACCACGTAAATTCAATGCACTTTTTTATCTTAAGGGCCGGCAGCTGGAAATAGTAATTCTTTGTCAATTTCTAACCTTCGTCTTCTTCGCACAGTGGGTGGCTGTGTAACAAATCTATGTCTATATATGTGCTTACTTGTAAGGGATCATCACTCTCCAAGTTGCAACTACAAAGTAAGTTGTACCTTTCGAGAAACCTTAACTATCAATCAATCATGAATTTCTCTGAGGATGAGAGTCACATCATCAGAAGCGTCTTACTCCTTACAGTGTTGTAATATTGTCATCTAGTCGACGTCTAAAATTTTCTAACACGTTGAAATTCTCCTAATGGACGTATCTATCCGCTTGCTCTAACAGCGAAGGTAATGTCTAGTCTCTCCCAATCCGCCATCTTGGTTGTAACATTACGCATGTACTTTATGACGATGTCGACTGACCAAAATAATTTATGGCTCATAACGTATTTATGTTATGGTTCTGATAACGTATATTTACGTCATGGCTCATAACGTATATTTATGTGATTAACCGTGCGCATATATATTGCTTAATACATTATTTCTTATAAGAAACGATTTGAAAATACATGAGACAAGAAATATAAGTGATAGAAACCGTAGCCTGCAGTACAGCTAGGTGGATTAGCGGGCTCTAGCGCGATACACGAGCGCGCGCGAAGCGCGAGAAAGAGCGCGAAGCAGGAGTAGCCCAGTGTTTGTCGACTTAACGTAACCTTTGTTTCAACACACGGTGCGCGATTTACAAGCTGAACCTCAATGTAATCAAGCTTCAATGTAATCAAGAATTGAACGTACAAATTTGACCGCCTTGTCAATGAAATGCTTTGCCGTATTCAAGATCTTAAACTACCACTGAATGTACAGTCTGATTCTCTTCGTGCTTAAGTATTCATGTAATTAGCCTGGCATTCTCTTATGCAAATTCGCTTCAACTTAGCCTCTTCACAAACCCAGCTTTTTTATCTTTTTGATCCTTATATTTTTGGCCTGGTTCAAATATTTGCATTGTTCTCAAAATTTGTATAACTATCATTTTGTCTTAAATGGCGTCCCATAAAGAAGTGTCAACTTATGTAATTCGTGTTTTTGAAACAAGTCACAATTTGTAAATTTACTAAAAAATTGTCTGCATGTTGCGTGTAAATGAAGTAATGGTATGTATTTACACATTCTCAGATAACACGAATAAAATGATATGCATTCAAGGCTAAAAATTAGAAAAGACAAATTACTATAAAACCGAACGTTTGGACTTGTCATCATTAAAATATAATGCAGAAAGAGCGGAGTAGTTTGAACAGGTAAATGATTTACATTTTAATTGTTTAATAGCGCCTGTCATTGATGTAAACACAAAGAGATAAGAATATTTGAAGTGCTTCCTTGGATTTGGCAGAATAGACAGCATGCAAGCCGCGGTTTAAAGGTTTAACGAGCACAACAGTGGCTGTGCACGTGCGTTATAGACCTTTGTACATTTCTTGGCAGCGCTTAGCCTCCTGCACGGGCAGACGCTCAGTTGCATGGAGGAGTGCGAGACGAGCCAGAAGGTCGGCGTAGGAGGCTAAGCCGTCTCCTCCATTGCAACACAACTGAGCTTGCCGATAACCAAGTTCTGCGAACATGAAACCGCGATGGCTAATTTTTTGTTGTTCCTGTTTTGGAATTGAACTCTTCATGCATGTATGTAATGACATACCCTTGAACAAGTTTTTAGACTGTTCGACTGAAATCGCTTTAAAAAGGCTTAAAACACGCCGAACAAAAAGAAGTTATATTAAATTTCCCATACAAACTCTTGTATCTTTGCTATATTATTTTTGTAATAAGGACGCGCACGTGCTGACCTTGGGGCTTAATCCTCTTGTGATACCCGATCTTTATTGGAAGCTTAATAGAACATTCCAGTAACTTGAACACGCTTAATCAGCAGTACGTAATACCAAGTTGCGGACATTTCACAGACAGTGTGGGATTTGGAATGCTCACAGTTTAAAAGAAACTAACGACAAATCAACCTGACGGACCATTGGTAGAGATTTATGTGAGATTCCGGCGTCATCAAAACATTTTGGTAATTGGAACTTGGTCTGTACGATAAAGATGAACACACAAGTTCAGTAACAACCAACTTTCGACTATGGAGACCTCAAACTGTTCGACGAATACCATCGATTCGATCTCTGGGCACAGTGTTATGGCTCAACTTCTACCGATTGCAGTATTGATTGTCTTTGTTAACGGAATCGTGTTTTTGTTATATGCCAAAGATAAACGCTTGAGGACACCGAGGAATTATTTGCTGTTTGGTTTGACGGTGTGCGACTTCATGACAGGATTTCTCAATGTTCCTCTGACTATAATTGTGTTAACGAGAGTCATTGCTCCCCTGCATGGTTTGATTTTGGGATTCTTCTTGGTTGTCCTACATAACCTTGTGGTAGTTCTAGTGGTTTACCACATCTTTGCCATTACAGTAGAAAGATATTTCTCAATAGTTCATCCGTTTCGCCACCGGTGGCATTTGACAAAGAAATCCTCTCTGGGCGTCATTGGTGTTATTTGGCTGACTGCTGTTATAATCGCCTTCCTACCTGTCACGTGGTTTAGAGGATTCCTAAACTCGCCTGAAAACGGCATTTTAACTGTGACACGCCAAATTCAAACGGGTCATATAATATTCTGTATTGTTTTTGTTTTTCTCTTACCGTATGTTTTTATCGTTTACTCTCAAGTTGATATGTTCAGAAAGATCAGTGGAGGGGCAACAAACCTTAGAGGAAGCGAAAGGCGAGACTCTTCCTTCTACCGAAAAGTTAAAGACAGCAAAAGATGCCTTATAATGTTAACGCTCATGGCAAGTGTCTATATTCTCTGTTGGCTTCCTTGGTATGTGATAAGCCTTTTCTACAGTCTGTGGTTTCCCCTTGGAGAAGACGCAAGGGAAATTCTGTCGGAATTTTCGCATGCATTTCTCATCATAAGATACCTGACGTCAATCTTTAATCCTGTGCTTTATACGTTTCTTAAAACGGATTTCCTCGAAGCTTTTAAGACTATCATATTACGACGAAAAAACCGGCAGAAGAATAGTCAATCAACAAGACAGAGCCTGCTTCTGCTAAAACCTAAATATCTTTGCCGGGCGCGAGAAATGGCTACGAAAAAAGAGGAAAACCTGCAGTGCATGTATGTAACAGCAGTGTAGAATAATGAAAGTGAAGGTAAAATAGGTAAATAAATGAATAATACGATCGTACGTCAGTTTTACAGTTATAACTGACTTAGTTAGTGACTGGCGTCGTGAACAGTTTTAATATTTGCACCTTGTTCCCTCATTCTACCCGATTCAAGGAGAAAGATCCCAGCTACATGTACAGTTTACGATTTTCTTATTCCTTGACGGTCCAGTAGACTGATTTCATTTGGTCCTGTTGCCTTGGAGTCATGCACGAAGCAAAAAGATCAGTTCTATGTCAGGTTACATACAATACTTGTTTATTAATCCACAGGATCTACTATTAGCACAGAAATACTTAATCAACCTCAGTCAACTTTATTCATTCATTCAACTATCTAGTTTCAGATGTAATTCGTACAGTCATTTGAAAATATTTTTCATTATTATCTACTGCAAGCTAATGTAAGTGATATTAGTGGCAAATAAAGGTAGTAATGCATAAAGCTAGAGCAGGAAACGAATGTAAGTGAAATAGGTTAAGTTATATATAAGATAAATGTAAGAAATGGTGGGACAGAAAACAAATAAAGTTTATAAAGATTTTAAAAATATATACCAAGAAATAATATGCTCAGAACTTACATGAAGATCACCTAACCAATCGGTCTTTTTTGGGGACCCTCTAAACCAGCTCACTCCACTTGTATCTGCTTTCTGACACTCAATTTTTAGAAAATTTGCGGTTAGCCAGACAACTACTGACTGACATGACATGCAGAAAACTCGTCCTACTGACCACACGCAACGATCTATCCAGCGATCCAATTTCCCCGACTGATCCCTAAGATGGAGGAAAGAAGATTTCCGGAAAGTTGGAACTCTTAGCCTGCGAACTCAGACGTAATTCCGGCTGTCGCTTGTCTCCGCCGAAAATAACGTCGATTTTTTTCTTGGCACGTGAAGCTAGAAACGAAAGAAAAAAAAAATCGTATGCTCTCACAGGTTGGGAAACTCTTGACACGGAATAAAAACGGTTACGGTTAGTAGCGTTACAGTATCTCCCGCTTATTGTAGACAGGCAGCCACTTTAAGTCTTGTCAATTCTCTTTTTTCGCATGCGTTTTGCATGTTGTGGCGATGGCGATGGCGAACGGCCCGCAGATTGAAACCTGATGAGGATACATGCAAATCCCGAAAATCTTCAGATTACTTAATGTAGTTTAAGAACGTGTCCATAGGCATTTGGACAATCGAAGTCTAGATATCTAAAGAAAGCTATGCTTACATTTTATAGTGTCCAAATCGATATTCCACGAGAGATCTCATGAAATATGTATTATAGCTTAAGGACGGGCCATTAGAAAAGTGATGGGGGTGGGGTGGGGGGTGGGGGATGAGGTGAGTCTTTTTTAGCTTGTAGGAATTTTTTTCACGTCCACTGCCTCTGCAGGATTGTTTTTTTCGGGTCAAGTCCCCTGCACAAATTATTATTACTATTACTATCATTATCATTATCATCATTATTATTATTATTATTATTATTATTATTATTATTATTATTATTATTATTATATATTTTGGGGGGGATATTCTATTGTCACAATCTTAATCTTGACACTCGCCACAATCTGATTGCCTGAAACAAGCTTCAAACAAATATTTTTTATCTTTCACACAGTCGTTTTGTTTTATTATCAAACTTATACTGGGGGAAACATAACCAAGCATCAGACACATTTAAGTGCCATTTGTCTAACTGATGGGGCTGCATTGTAGTTTTTGTTTGACGTTTAAGGAAATTTTATTTATTGATTCCCCTTGAACCCGGGGCAGTGAATCAAGGTTTTAGCTAGGATTCTGTTAGTGGCCGTCCAGTAACAAATATGGGGCCAAAGGTCCTATTCCGCTGAGCGTTTTTAGGGCATTTTCTACGATTTTCAGCCCATAAATTATATGTATCGATTAAACTTGAACGATAACGCGTCGTTTACTTTGTCAAAAACCTAAAATAGATTGAAAATGCCCATACTAAACGCATTAGTTGCGTTAACACCTCCATGATTGTCTTCGATTTCGACGTTTGTCCAACGTTCATCTTAGCGGCCATCTTAAAGGAAGTGTTACGGTTCGGCATGGGTGAACCAACTGTCATTTATACATGTCAGTTGTGAAATCACTCCCATATGGCGAAGCTTTCAAAACATGGTATGTGCTTGCTTAATTGCAAACGAATCAAGCAGGATGGCTGTTTATAGCACATGGGTTTTTCAGCCATGGTTATCCATAAGGGTTGAACTGCTACGATGTTTGACTAGCAGTGTCCATGATAAGGTTGGTGGGCACAAAATGTATCAGCCTTGAAAGGGAAAAATGTCCGTTTTCCTAATTGTAGAGAAAACCGGGTAAATGGGGATTCAACCAGGACGAAGAAATTAAAACTGCAGTGTAAAGTGGCTGCCAAGTTACCCAATACAGTTTGTTAGCCCGACAGTGCAATTCACTCTACAGGAATTTTTTTCTTCACTTCTTCTTTGCACGATTTTTCAGTCACTCTCCCTTGCATGATATTTTTTTCCCCACCCCCCATCAATTTTCTAATGGTCTGTCCCTTACCTTGTGATTGCAGGAACGACCATCAAACTTTCATATTTAAAAAAAAATTGCTATCAATTCTCTGTGGTTTGCATCTCGCAACTTGACAGATGCTGGACAATATTCGCTAGATCATAAGTGATCTCTTGACAGCAATTATTTTTCATTATTCCATGAAAAGGTAGTAGAGTAAAAACGGAATTACATGAGTTGCATCGCTTCCGTTTTAGTTCACTTGAGATGCGGTAACTAAGAAGCCTGACGATTCCTGACTTTATTAGTGGTAGCTCATCCCCGGAAGGGAGAAGGAGTGGGGGAGGGGAGGGAGGGGCTACTGCCATATATGGGCTATATAGGTATGAAGGTATGATTTTTCAGCCGTTTTCGTCATAAATAGGGTATGGTTTTTGCACTATGGTCTTGAAATGGGAAGAAGCTACAGTCCCCTTTTATCGATTAGACCACCAACAAAAGCCCTTCAAAAATTATGTTTACGACAATGTAACATTGGCCTGAACAAGGGAACTGATTATAAGGCAGGTCTGAAACAGGGTATTGATTTAAGGGTCAGGTCGTAAATAGTATATCGAATTTTTGGTCAGTTCATAAAAAGGGCAGGGAAAATCCCAGATTTTAGTCATAAATAGGGAAAGGGGATTGGGAAGCGAGCCGCACACCCCCACCCACCCACCTCGGGTAGCTCACCGTAATTAACCTTAATTCAAACTAAGGAAGTCATTTGAAAGGCACTGTCCAGACTTGTTTCCAGCGCGTACAGCCGTAGCAGTCCTCATAATGCACTCTCGTATAAATGTTCCTCGCATTCTTCGATGGTGCGTAATACTGTAGCAACAGACGTACGGCGTCCAGGTTGCCTTTGGAGAGAGGTCGTCGGTGGGTCGCTGGAATTTGATTGCAATGTTCCTCTACTTTGGCGGGTGAATAATATGGACACTTGCCTCTTCCTGCTGAAAACAAATTTTAGAGTCTGATTGAAGTCCCTTTTGAGGAAGGTATAAAGCAACGGGTTGACTGCGGATGACATGTACCTGATGAGCAAAGACACTTGAGAAGGTACTTTCAGTTTAGAGAAATCGAGCTGCAATTGGTACAATAGAAATACAACGAACCAAGGAAGCCAGCATACGAGAAATACAGACGCCATAATAACGAAGAGCATCAAACATTTTCGCTCGCCGGTTGATCGCCTTTTGGAGATTTCTGTATGTCGCAAAAAGCCGTTGTCTTCGCGGTGTCTATTTCTTGATCCACCATACACGGCTTTGAACATGTCGATAAATGCATAAACCAAAAAGATGTAGGGTAGAACCAAGACGAACACCATGCAGAATATGGTGAAAACAAGAGTGAATTTTAAGGATACTGGCTGGAATACTGGATACATCTTATTGATCCAGGTAAACGGAACAAGTGATATGAGAAGAGAGAAAAGCCAAACCAGTGCTAAGACTATATTGACGCTCTTCTGATCAAGTGCGAGGTGTTTAAGCGGAAATTTGATTGCCAGGTAACGCTCGGCCGTGACAATGACGATGTGGTACACTGATAAAATGGCTACAAAGTTGTGAAGAACAGTCACCAAGAATCCCAGATAGAACAGTGTCCTTTGAGACGGCACCAGTGGTGTAAAATATAATATTGTAAATAGAGGAATGACGACCGAGCCAGAGAAGAAATCACACACAGCCAAACTGAAAAGAGGAGAGTTTGAAGTAGTTCGCAGCGTTTTCTTCTTGAGAAACAAATAAAATACTAAACTGTTCAGGATGACGATAACTGCTGCAATGGATAGAAGCTTTGCAATGTCGGTGTGGTGTGGTTCAGACTGATTGTCTCCAGATCCTTGGCCTTGATGTGTAGTCATATTTTTGGCTGCGTTGCAGCAAGAGGAGAAATTACGCTTGTTATCCATTGGTAAGATGGAAATTCTTTAGTTGCTTTGAACGAGGAATGTCCAAGTAGCGTTAACTGATCAGTTTGAGAGACTCTTCCCTTGACTAACTTGGCTGCAGTGATGCTTTACTTGGTGTCTTCAGTGTAGGCTTAGGCGTGCTGGTATCTAGTGAGTGTTTGAAAAGATAGCAGTTAGCTTTGTGTATCTATCAGAAAAAACCTAGACACGGACCTCGAAGAAAATCATTTTTAACTCGTACATGTACAACAGTCTTATTTTTGTAGTGAGCTAACCATTAATGCTAAAGATTCAAACTTTGTGTAAATTCAAAAAGGCGTAACATAATTTATGCACCATTCCAAACCGTGATAAAAAGCAGCCATGGAGGCGCAACGAAATTTCAAATTATAATTAACAAGTTCACAATTTTTAACGCACAACCTCCAGAAAGTCTCAATCGAACATAAAATTTTCGCTCTCTAGCGTACTAATCAATGGTTCGAGAAGCATGGAATTAAGTTCACCCCGTCCATAAGCAATTTGTCCAAGGGACAAACCTCAGAAAACGGTGTATGGAGGGGTTTTCGTCGTGAAAACTAATATTAACTATATCAACTGAATAACAAAGAAAAAAAGTTATAAATTGTGTATTTTAGAGGTTTACAACCTAGATAATTTTTCCCTTCACCAATCTTGAAGATTTGACAACATTTGGTTGAAATCCAATGGAGATATGGTGTTTAAAATAATGTCTATTTGGTCTTTTTGAGAAATTAGGCTTTAAAATTTTACTTCGGTCACCGAGAGCCAAAACTTGCCATATACCCGGGGGGTGGAGTACTCCCTTGTATGGGCTATATAGGTATGAGCGGCCCCAAAGGGTATGGTTTTTCAGCCGTTTTGGTCATTAATAGGGTATAGATTTTAGCTGACTTTGGCAATTTTGGTCATAAATAGGGTACGGTTTTCGCACTCTAGCCTTAATATGGGTATGTTTCTAAGAGGAAGCCACTTTTTCATCATTATCAAAAAGAAAATAAACAAAAGCCCTTCACAAATTATGTTTACGGTAACTTAACATTGGTCTAAACAAGGGAACTTATTATAACGCAGGTCTGAAACAGGGTTTTGATTTAGAGTGGTACTATGATCAAAATTTTTACCCCTTGATTTTTTGGGTGTATCACGTAGAATTCCATGAAAGAATAAAAATGCCGTTTACCGTTCGCATACGTCTGCATTAGTTCCAGAGATATTTAAGTTTGAAAAATTTGTGAAATATGCAAATGAGATGACTGCTGACGCCATACACTCAACCCAATGTTATGTCAAGTCTACAAATAGCGCTACCTCAGTCAATTTGCAGCACAGACCATTGAAACTTGGTAGGCTAATAGTTCTACAGGTAACACACCTACTGCTATGAAAAATTCTGTTCCCATGGTAACTGACTCTTTTCCAGTCCTCACCAACTTGATTTCAATGTTTTAGTAATTTTCAGCTCGAAAAACATTAAATGAGGCTATGAAATGGAGCTAACCTATTTATATGCTTGCCTAATCAGGCATATGTGGCACCATTAGCAAATATCAAAATGGAACACCAAATAAATAAATAAATAAATAAATAAATAAATAAATACTGGGGAGGTCTGGAACCCAGTATGTTGCCATGGTAACAAAACTGTTCAGCTCGTATTGTGTAGCACATTGAGTAGAATCTTACTACAAAGAATCAAACACTTCTGATAGATATCTTTCTTCATAATATTTGATTAATATTTAGTTGAGTGTATGACGTCATCACTTGGCTAATTTGCATATTTTAAAAACTTGAATATCTCTGGAACGAAAAGAGATATTTGAAAATGGTAAGCAACATTTTTCTTCTCATGCAGACTACTTGTTTATGTTTTAAAATGGCTTAGATAGGAAAGATGCGATTTTCGTCAGACCACTTTAAGGTTGGGTCATAAAATAATAGGGTTTCGAATTTTTGGTCAGGTCATAAATAAGGTAAGGAATATCGCAGATTTTGTTCGTAAATAGGGTAAGGGTTTTGGGAAGCGGGCCGCACACCCCACCCAATTTTTCTGGGAGTACCCTCCGGGGCCATATAAACCGGAGCGGAGGGCAGAGTCAGGGGGAGTGGGTATATCGATAGGTTTTAGGTAAATGTTCCATTGAATACTCGAATACACACCATGTTAACCAAGTATAAGGGACGTATAAGATGGTATTATGATGCACAATTCTCATAAGTATTCGTATGCAGTTTTGGACTGCAAACAACCGTTGCTATAGGCGTTGCTATGTTAAAATATAGCTACCAGTGTGCAGATTTTTTAATTTAAACCTAAATCAAGGAGTAATCAGAGCGAAATCGTTTCAAAATACTTTTTGCAAATGGTCCGAGACGTTGAATTTTCATGTTTCGAAAAAATGGTATTTTGGAGAAAAAATTATATCTGACAGTATAAGATCACCTTAAGGGCATATTGCTTTTGCTCTGAAACCAATAGTACCACAAGGGGTTTTCAGAAACAAATATATTGATTTGTGACGTTAACAAAGAAGTAACCAAGGTATAACACGTTTTACGAAGACCCCAGTAAATGTCGAGTTTCAATCGTACATATTGCCTCACTTTTGTGACCAACTCGGCTTCTCCTAAAAGTTGTCATCTTTTGATGCCACAAAAGACACAAGATAAAGAAAGTTAATAATTAAAGAAAAATTATCCCCCTCAGGAATAAATGATTTCATGTAGCTTGCCTTGCCTGTTAATGTTTTATTAGCCAGGATCAGAGTACATCCGGGACTTATTTGTTGGACATACAAAAGCGAGTGCAGGGCAGATTATGTGCCTCTTTTTCCTTCAGCTGCTCCACGGAAAGGATTATCTCCACCCTATGTCCCTCCCTCAACCTCTAGATTAGTTGGGGACATAAGTTAGTGAATTGTGTGGACCGGGTTTGCTGAAAATAAATTAGGCTTTTTAGATTTCATGTAAACTATTTCAGTGGTTATCAAATAAACGGCCAAGAGTGTGGCCAAAATATGCCAGTTACGGTTTCTGTATATTATTTCCAGCAACATCAGGAGCTCAACCTTGGCAATGTACATTATAGGGTATATAGGTTAAGCAAGAGAGAAGCATAAAATTTGTATATCCACAAAAACAACAAAATTAGTAACATATCTGCTCAGTGATAAACACAAAACGCAGGTACAGTCCGTTTTTCCTATTGAGGGTAATTAAACACCGACAAAGTATATTTGACCCAATCTAAGAAAACAAATACTAATAAATACAATAGGAAGATAAAAAGGCCATTTTTGTATCTTTTGCCATGATTTGCCTATTTGTTGTATCAATACTAAAACAAAGCTAGTAACTGATACAACAGAATTTGTTGCTAGTACACAAATTGGTAGAGCAGATAAAAAGAAAAATTGAGACAAGATTTTTTAAAATTATTATTCGTCCATCTCACACTGTGCCGCTTAGTCAGAACATTTAAAGATCAAAAGCATTCAGCTGAGAGTAGAAAAAAAAACATACCACGAACTGGGCGACTTGGTTTTCGTGACCAAGTGAGGATAAATATAATAAATATGAATAAATATAATAAATATAAATAAACATAATAAATATAATTTGTTATGATCCTCGTGTGACGACACGTAGCTATTGACCGAAGCCCATTTTTTTGCGTGTTAAAAAAGATTAGACCTATTGGCAAAAACGTATTAAGTACTATTCTGGCCGAGTCCATTTTATTCTGCAGTTATTTTCCAGAACCGAAGTCTCACTGAATATCAATGGTCTAGTTTAAGCAAACGGCCATTCTGCGAATGCAGGCCGACGATTATAGTTTTTTTTGCGTTGCATGTAGTTTATCAAATAAATCAGAACAAAGGGGAATAAATCAATCTTCAATAATGACGATCCGTTCTCACGTCCTCGTTGAACGTACGAAAATACTGCCGCCTAGCAAATATATCTAATTGAATAATTAGACAATTTCAATTCCGTAGAAGACAAAAGGCCTAGTATTACTGGAAGTGAAAGTTACTGATTGCCTTAGCAGGGGAGGATTTAGGGGGAGGATGCAGGGGGTGCGCAGCCCCCTGAGATGAAGCCGTCTTCTTCGTTTTCGCTTTTAAAATTTGTTTACCTCACCAGTCAGTTACGCCATTCCTTAGAGTTGCACCCCCTCCTAAGGAAAATCCTGGATCCGCCCCTGCTTAGGGTTTTAAGTATGAAAGTGCTGTAGTTCAAACAATTCCTCAAAGAAAGTAAACACCATTGTCAATTTATTTGAGCAAGAGCGTCATAACTAGGAGCTGGTCATGCAAGGCTTTTACTAATCTAAACCGGTTAGTTTATAGCGACCAACAATTGTTTAAAACTTGTGAAAAAGAATTACTCTTTGTCCATACAACTCTACTTTGTAAAGCAGGTACACAAAAGAGAAAAACCTGCGAGAATCATTTCGCTCATCAGCTTGTGACTGGGCTATAAAGGATTTTGATGATCTCCATGCACATTGGGTGGGATGAGCAATTCTTTCAGTGTTAAGCCGCCGTGGACCAGTCCAAGCGTACAGTTGAAATGCGGTGTAAACTTTTGAAGCTGTGAGAAAATCTCGAATGGAAGATAACAGCATTGAAAAGTTTCTATTACTGGAAACTATCTGATATGGTGAAAAATCTGATGTCGTATGGTGAGTAGGGATCAGTCAAGACTGCACCTTGCAATAACAAGTGTTGAATTAGAAAATTATCAGTCATGTTAGAATGCATTCAGTCACAACGATTTCCGTAATGTTAAATTACTTAAATCTTCCTGCTTGAAAAAAAAATTTCCACTGAGGTTTAATGCGACATTAATACATACACGTCCGACACGCCCAAGTACGTTTAACATATAAATTCACAGCCATATCCACCTACCTGATATCTCAGTACAACAGGCATAGGTTTTAATGATTCCAATAGGATGCAGGGCTAATATTATGTTGGTCTGAAGTTAATTTTGTTAAAACTTAGGGGAAACCTAGAACACTAAACCATGTCCAACAGGAAAACACAACAACCACCGGTGATTTTATAGTAGACAGAAAAAAAAAAACGGAAACAAGACCTAAAATAAACTTACAGTTTAGACAAATAGGCAGAACAGTATGAAGCACACCAAGGTGATAACATTTATACAGGAATACAAATTCACACGCTGATTTTATCCGATGACCTTACCTTCCAATTAACATTGGCCATGCTTACGCCTCCATACTAGCGGTCCTTTTAAAAGCTGCAAACCTTTATCCTTAAGAACTGCTCTCAAATATC